ATGTATAATAACAATATTTTGGCGCTTGCACCTTTGCCAAGTATTTGGCCGAGCTTCTCCTCCAATTTGTGGTGTGCGTCTTGATGTTGTCACAAAAAGGCCACGGGACCTACAGCTTTACGCCGCCTCCGAACAGCAAATGGCTTTTGTGAGAAGCTTTATAAGGCAGAAATACACACGGAGGCAGTGTTGGGCGTTAATCAATTAATTTTTCTATCATACCACTAACACCCAGAGTTGAGCGACCTCAAAATTTTGTTCAAAAACAAAGCCGTTAGAGTGCTTTTTGAGCATTTTCCTAATAAAGGAAATTTTCAAATTTTTTCAACACTTTTGTGCCTTAAATAGCTCAATAATGGTTGAATTTATATAAAATTTGTACACGATAATATTTCTGCTGCTGCAAATCATAAGCTCCTATAGCACTTTAAAGGCTTAAAATTGATCCCAAAATAAGCCAATATTTGCCTTTGTTTCTACGACAGACACCGAATTGGTTATACACAAAAATAAATCTGTCGATTTTGTCTTTGAAACGCCACACCTTTCTTTAAAATCGCTTCACTCGTTCTCTTGCAATAAGCGTTTTCGTGAAGCTCTAAAAATTACAACTACAACATTTCAGCATAGCCCCCATATAAACGTAAGACGTATTCTACGTCAAAAAAAAAACAAATACGTCCGGGCACCCACAATTCCATTCCATCGTTCTAGCTCGGAATGCAACTGCAGTTTGAAAAACCGTTCTGGCCTCATCGAGTGTGGAAGTTAGAAAAAGACGAAACGAAAAGCAAACAACTTCAAAGTTTATAAAGTTGTGTTGGACTGTGAAAATATTGTGGGATGATGTACATGAATTTTATTTTTCTTAAGCACGCTTGTCTAATATCTTCTGTGCTGACTGACGCCAATTAGAAATGCCAACTGAAGCCAAGTCATTTCGACCTGGTCTTTTCAGCGCAAATGAGGCCTTCCTCTTTTTCTGTCACCACCAGTGGATACTGCGTTGAATACTTTCAAGGAGGAGTCGATGTGTTTTAACTCACTGCGCTATGCTATAGTTGTTATCATACGGCTCATCGTTACGTCGTCTGAGGTACGCCCAAAAGCGCAAGGTTTTTACATATGTAATTACTTAATAAAAATTCTCAAGTAATACCAAAACCGAATTTCCAATTCAGTAAAAGAAGATATCTGCCTATCAATATGAGCATTGACAATTCACTAGACTTTCCCTGTTATTCGTCCTGTACCGATGGTAACTTAACTGTAACTCGAGCAAGGCATACTTATTATCATTTTACTACTAGAAAGTTCAGTTTGCTTTTACTAGATTTACTAAAAATAGTTTTAAATCTAAATATAATTAAAGTTGGATTAATTGAACATAGATGGCCCATGTAGAATTCATATACATTGAAAAACATTGTCTTTAGCACAGCTGCCAAAAACTGTTCATCTATGAAAATTACCCAATTACTTAGTAACTGAACCAACACACCCGACCCAGTGATATTCAATCCACTGCTACAGCTCCTTTGTTGCGTTCTCTTACTTACAAATACATGCAGATGCATACAGCGATCGAACGTGTTGACGTTTCAAACAAAATTCCTTACCGCCGCCGTTACCGCAACATTGACATCCCACCCTAAGTGTAAAAAGCCATTGGCTATGTTTAAGGCAAGCGTAGCGCTACGGTAACAACATTTCTGTCCCGTTGAAATTTGTGACAGACAGACTTTCGCGGATTTTTACGCTGTAACGTGCTCCACTTTGCCACATACACAAACGATTTGTTGGCTGTAACTGGCGGAAAGTCAGCCACAACGCGAACGCGACAAGGAAAAGTGAAATAATTTTTGAAATTTCTGAGCCGTGCGTGATTTTGCTGGCCTATCTGGGATGGCACATTTTCACACTACAGATTCAACGGTAAACATATGTACGTAAACTGGTTTATGCGAATGGAATTCGTTATACTTGAATAGAGGATATATCATGACCGAAACCCAGCGGTACGTATTTATTCATTAATTTCAATTAGTTGTGAGGGACAAATACTTACTTCTTTGTTTACTGGTATACTACTAGATTTTTGTTCGGCTGTTCGATGGCGCTACGCGTTTTTCAAAATTTTCCCATTTTTAGGATGAAAATCCAAAACGAAAATTTGTTTGTAATTTTACACTGTGCTGGTCATTTTTAGTATTGTTTTAAGTCATGTCAGTCGAAAGATCAGGCCCTTTAGCATAAAAATCATTAATAAATAAAGGGACTTTTTTGTTTTTTCGATTTGTAAAGCATTTTAGTCGCAGCGCTCCGTCGCGCCACGGCGCACAGTGTTTCGACTATATGGAGGCAGGTAGAAAAAAGTCATGGTGACAGTTGATAAAAAAAACCGGTTGGGCTTAGAGAGGGAAACGTAAAAGTCATAAATACTAAATTTTATATTATTTCCTCCCCCCTCTTCTTCACGAACGATAAATTTCCAAAAAAATACGGGAATCTGCGCCATACCGACTAATCAGTTTAGTTGCCTTTGGCGATTAACCCATCAAAGAAAGTGTTTCTTTTTCAACAATAATCAATTGTTTATCATTTATCATCATTTATTGGTACTTTCCTATTTTCTTACCAAAAAATTTACTATGATATGTAGATGCTAAAGATTATTAGTAAAAAAAAGTGTGGGTACCAGTACGTCAGGCCTTGAAATTAGACGAATGTTTTAAAGAATTTTATGTAGTTTTCGAATATATAATTTGATCTTTGCGCGCGACTTTGCAAATATATATAATTTTTGATTTTCTTAATTTTTGATTTTCAGCGTCTTTTGCATAATTTCGCGAAAAGAATTTTTCTAACAGAGAAAAAATCTCACCAAACATTGTGGAAAAGCGAGTATTTACACCTAAGTCATTTTATAGTATAACCTTTTTTTATGAGAGTGGAAAGCAGGAAACAAAAGTTAACCAAAATTCCATCACATTTAATGACTGGGCCAACATTTTTTGTGAGTTTGGGACGTTATAGTGATCCAATCTTCCCCATATTTTATATATAGGTTCTTATAATAAAATAAAGACTACAAACTAAATTTCAACGAAATCGGATGAAATTTAATGTTTCCGCCCACAAGAGTAGAGGGCGTGGCAATTATTCCATCTTTACAAAATTTCATAATTCTCTATTTTTAAGTAAAACTAGAGCACATGTCAAGTTTCAGTCAAATCGGTGCAGGTACTATTATTTCCACCTGCCTCCATATAGTCGGAACACTGTGCGGCGGCGACAATTTAATGACAATTCAAAGCAAGCCGGATTTTGCTAATATTTAATGAAAGTAAACATATCCACCAATAAAATATTCGATGGATTTGCAAAAGTTGCTCGTATTTTTACTTTATGCCATACTAAAGTTTTCATGTCCCGAAGCACCTTCGCTCATCTCCACGCATTTGGTATATAACCCAATGATATGCTACTTCTAACTATTGCTAAAAGCGGTCCAATAATGCATTCTAAGCCCTGTTGTAGCATGCCAGGCCATATTCCCTCCGCTCGGGGCTCAGAGCAAATTTCCTTAGCCACTAACCACAAATATTAAAGAGGCCCAGGTCAAAAGCGTCAATACCCTCCGTCTCATGAGGTAGAATATTGGGTACCTCCACCACCTCAGGCACCTCCTTCCGTATTTCAGGAACACCCGGTGGAGTATATGGCTTGATTGCCTTCGCCTTCGGTTCCCTGCCCTTGTGCACATATACTGGAATACTACCAAACCTGAATCGTAGGATACGGGTTTTTCTCTTGATAGCTTCCAACGACCGGTCGTCTATCCCGATCGTCAGTAGTTTACCTGTCTCCTGATCGTTGCTCCTGTATATCTTCGTCAGCAGTTTACCCCTCTTCTGATCGTTGCTCCTGTTAATGACTCTCCAGTCAGGATTATTTTGAGGGTGGAGAGAGTTGATCTGAGGGAAAATGGCATGGGGAAGCATTAGGGATAAGGACATCACATCAGGTCACCATAAAGCTTCGCTCTCAGTTCGTTGTGATATGCCGGTTGCCGAAGCAGTCGCCGTAGTACCACTTAAGCCCCATCCCCACGGAAAGGAGATCGACAATGATGAAGATATCTATGAAATTAATAAAAATGTCCTAGTTCCATTTTCAATCGAAATAAATATTAAGAATTTTTAGATTCTGTTATATAAACAAACTAGGTGAAAACCCGGTTAATTGGATTGTAAAAATCCAAGAAGAAATATTAAGAATTATTAAGTATTTTTAGATTCTTTTATATAAACAAACTAGGTGAAAACCCGGTTTATTGGATTGTAAAAATCCGGTTTACTCGGTATTCGAAAAATCCAGATTTCAAAAAACCGTGTAAAATATTAAAAAAAAAAACGCTTGAAACCGGTTTGGAAAAGAAGTAGAGAACAGTTCAAAAGCAAAGTAAAAAATAAAGAAACAAATGCTCAGCAATAAATATAATTTTGATTAGTTACATAAAATATGTATTTTCTTTTGAAAAATAGTTAATTTATGTGCAAACATGTATGTATGTATGTATATGTATTGTCAAATGTATACCACAGAGAAGGGAAAAACCATGTTTATAAGTACATACACTTAATATAACCATCAAAAAATTTGAAAAAACCGTCATTACTTTATTAAATGAAAAATAAGAAAAACGCAAAATATGCATGCATTGCTTTTTAAATGCTTTAGTTGAAGCGCTCACCAAGGGTTTCTGTAGGAGCAGCAAGGGATCATCTAATCTTTCTAATGACACACAATGTTAAAATACAATGAAGTGCGAAATTATGAAAGGGCGCTTACTGTTGAATATGGAGCGCTTAAATAGCACTAATGGCGCGCTCCTAAACCGTTGGGATGCTACATAATTACATATGTGTTCGTGTTTTCTATATGCCTACACACTTAAGATGCCAACATTTATTATACAAGTTTTTTTTCTTTTGCAGTTCCGCCGATGCTCTCTATACCAAACCAATTGGAAGGAGCTTACGTCGGTCAGGATGTAATATTAGAATGCCATACGGAGGCATATCCAGCATCCATAAACTATTGGACTACGGAGCGTGGTGATATGATTATATCAGGTAACTCGAAAGAATTTTTCAAACTCAATTTTACACCTAAAATGTTGCTACAAAAATAAAAACATTACGCAGCGAATGAAATGTTTCGTATCGATTGAAAGTGATAGTCCATAACGGCGGCCGCTGTGCTCTTGTGGTTAGCAGTGCGCGCTACTATTTTGTAGGACCTGGGTTCGAACATGTACATACATGCTTCCTCGACCAACACCAAAAAATTAAATATAACAAGTACAAAAAAGTCTAAGATCAGGCGGAAGCGAACATTAAATACCTGGCGCAAGTATTAAATATAGTTTCTTCACCTTTCCGAAAACTACCACTATGTGGTAAGCGGGAGTGGTTTTACCCCTAATTCCAACATCCTCGATATATACTTATATGTGGGCGGTATCACGCCCATTTTCAAACTATTCCTCCAAAAATGTTCTTCTTTCCAAAGGATTGTTGTTAGTATAAATTTTGAGTAAATTTGGTTCCATAAAATTCAAAATATGGAAGTTTCAAGCATTTCTGAAATTCACCATTATATGAAAAGTGGGCGTAATTTCAGTGTGATTTCAACAATCTTCAACGCTTTGCTTTTATGTGGTAAGCACAATAATCATACCGAGTTTGGTGCAAATTGATCGATATACATACAGATATGTATGTGGTCATAAGGGGACGGGGCCACGCCTGTTTTGTTCATAAACGTATTTCTTGCTAAATAATTATTACAAACGTTAATTTTGAATAAGTTAGCTTAAATATTTACTGATTTAACGAAGATTTCGTATTTCTCTTAATTACCGTGTTATGGGATGTGGGCGTGGTTTTATTGTCTGATTTTTAAAAGTTTCAGTCGTTACTATGTTGTACCGAGGCCAACAACTGTGCCAAGTTTGGGAGAAATTGATGCAGATGTTACCATGTGTGCATGTGTATAATGCAATCATAAGTGGACGTGGCTACGCCCATTTTCCAAAGGTTTATAATATTCCAATTTCTTTGTCTAAAAATCATTGTAAATAACACTTTTGAGTGAATAAGCATCAGTCGTGACTAAAATGTCGCTGTTTCCGCATTTCTGAAAACTGCCGTCCTACGATGAAAATAAGAACACATAACAAGTTTCGTTAAGAAATCTTAATTTTTACTCGAGTTATCGCGAGTAAAGGCGAACAGGCCGACGAACGGACAGACAGTCACCGCTTAATCGATTTCTTTTTTTCATTCTGATTAAATATTTATATATACATTTGTCTTTATCTATCTCGATTAATTTTGGCTGTTACAAACAACCGTTATGTAAGCAAAGTTATAATACCCGTGTGCACAAGTGCGCTCGGGTATAAAAACAGTTTTTCTAATAGCGGTCGCACCTCGGCTGGCAATGGCAAACCTTCGAGTATATTCGCCATGAAAAACAGCTTTTAATTAAACTTCAGTCGCCATTCTTAGTTACCTTAAAACTGTAGGTCCCTCCCCTTTGTGTAAGCGGCAATCTATTTTTCTAAGTGCGCTTCGAAAAATTTAACAACCCGACGACCTACCTAGTCAATTCACGTACGCTGAATTCAGTGGTGCTAATTTTTCTAGGTGGTCATTTAACCGAGTAATATTAAATTAAAATTTTTAGGCGCACCCGTTTTTGATCAAAATCTTTAGATTTTCGATTGCTCTGAAAACTCGTACTAAAGGAGTTTTTGGAGCTAGGAATCCGAATTTGACATTATTTTTCCGAATGGCCAAAGCGTAGATGTTGTATTGAAATGGCCCTTAATTTGTGGGAAACGCATTTCGTTTTCTTACTTTTATTTTCTGATAAAATAAAATTTTGAGGCAAACAGAGAATAGCATCCTTTAAATTTTCATCAAATTATAACTTAAGAAAGTTTAACTATATGACAACTGAGATGTGCAAAAGGACACTTTTGCTTATGCCGCAGTGAATAGCATGCATTTAGGTGCTTGGTGTTGGTATTCGCCCCTAAACAGGTATCTTATAATCGTTTCGAATTTGGCCTCTCAAAAACGATCACGCGAAAAGTCACGCGAAATTAAAGACAGCTAGAAGCGATATCCGATCGAGGCAGTTAGGCGGTATAGTTATACTCTTAAGTTTTGTATAACCTCCGTTACACAGAACGGTACACCACCGCCTTCCGCTAATTTTTGACGCCACAGAAAGTTAAGGTTCCGTATTTACAAAACAAGGCAAGGATTTTCCAAATCCTAGCACGTCTTCACTTTAATGACGTTGCGCCATCCCTTCGCTACAGGCTTCCATCTAACTCTAGTCATCTATCCACAAGCTGCATAAAGCTTTCTTCTTCTTCTTCTTATTTGGCGCTGTAACCGCTTAAGCGATTTAGCCGAGTTCAACAAGCACGCCAGTCGTTTCTTTTCTGTGCCAATTGACGCCAATTGCAAATGCCAAGTGAATCCAAGTCCTTCTCCACCTCGTCTTTCCATCTCAGTGGGGGCCTTCCTCTACCTCTGCTACCACCAGCGGGTTCCAAGTTTAATACTTTCAGAGCTTGACCAAGCCAGCAGAGCCGCTGTATTTTGATTCGCTGCATTATATCCATGTCGTTGTAAAGCTCATACAGCTCATCGTGCCATCGTCTGGGGTACTCGCGGTCGCCAAAGCGTAAAAGCCCGTAAATCTTTCGCAGAATCTTTCTCTCGAAAACTCCAAGAGCTGCCTCATCAGATGCTTTCATTGTCAATGGCTCCGCTCCATACGCCAGCACGGGTATTGTGAGTGACTTATAGAGTGTAATCTTTGTACGACGAGAGAGGACTTTACTTCTCAATTGTCTACTCAGCCCAGAGTAGCACTTGTTGGCAAGAGTGATTCTCCGTTGGATTGCAAGGCTGCTATTATTATAGGTGTTAATGCTGGTTCCCAAATAAACGAAGTCGTCTAATCAAACTTGTAACTGTCAACAGTGACGTGGGTGCCAAGACGCGAATGTGCTGACTGTGTGTTTGATGACAGGAGATACTTCGTCTTGTCCTCGTTTACCACCAAACCCAATTGCTTTTCTTCCTTATCCAACTTAAAAAAGGCAGAACAGACTTCGCGGTTTTTGATACCGATGCTATCGATGTCATCGGCATAAGTCAGCAATTGCACGCTCTTGTAGTAAATTGTTTCTGAGCAGTTCAGTTCTGCAGCTCTTATTATCTTCTCCAACATCAGATTAAAAAAGTCACATGAAAGGGAGTCGCCCTGTCTAAAACCCCGTTTGGTGGCGAACGGCTCGGCTAGATCTTGGGTCGGAGGTAGTTGGCGCGAGTGGCGGGGTCACATTTCTTGTGGATTGGGAAGAGCACACTTAAATTCCAGTCGTCGGGCATGCGTTCATCTGACCAAATTCTGACCAAGAGTTGATGCATGCACCTTATCAACTCCTCGCCGCCGTACTTCAATAGCTCAGCTGGCAGGCTGTCAGCTCCAGCAGCTTTGTTGTTTTTCAGCCGCGTTATTGCTATTCGTACCTCGTCATAGTCAGGCGGTGGAACGTCGACTCCGTCATCATCGACTGCGGCTCTTCTCCACAACTTTTCGTGCTGGTACCATTCAGTAGGGCGGAGAAGTGTTCGCTCCATATTTAAGTACCCTCTGAACATCGGCTATTAGGTCGCCATTGTTGTTCTTACAGGAGTACGCCCCGGTCTTGAAACCTTCCGTAAGTCGCCTAACTCTTTGGTAAAATTTTCGGTCATTCTTCCTGTCGGCCAACAATTCAAGCTCTTTGCACTCACGTATTTCGACCTCTCTCTTCTTATTGCGGCAAATACGTCTCGCTTCCCTCTTTAGATCCCTATAGCGGTCCCACATAGCGCGCGTTGCGTTCGATCGCAGCGTGGCCCTGTAGGCGGCATCTTTTTTCTCTGCAGCTTCCTGACACTCCTCATCGTACTAGTTGTTCTTTCGGGCTCGCTGAAATCCGATCAGCCTCAATCCGTTGTCGGACGTTTCGTCGGGGGTGAACGACAGTACTCGCCGACGGAGTCTCTCGCCCACCATAAATCCAACACCGAATTTGCGCTCCTTTACATGGCAGCTGTAATAAACGTCGCAAGGCGTTTCTTCCAGGTGTATGTCCTCATATCGTAGTCCTATAAACGTTTGCCGTGGCCGTCATCATAAGGGGGGTCTCATCCGAGGCTTTGCCTTGCTTCTTCACTGGAAGTGGTTTTACGTAGCGGGTCCCAAACCCAGCGCACAACCCATTGCCGGGACGGGGGTGGTTTCGCAACCAAATACACGTTTATATAGCGAGCCGCGTGCTCCAAGCAGACACCCGCTTGAAGCCGCACCTTCTGGTAGACAAACGCTGCAGACTTTAGTGCCCTTAAACCGAATAAGTCGGGTTGGCCCCACCGAAGCACCCTCTCTTTCTACCGTGACCCAAGGCTCCACTCGTATTGGTTACCGCATCTTGCATATGGGTTGCTCACGTTGCCCAGAGTAGGCGAACGAGGACGCAAGAAACGGGATTGAGTATAGCTATGCAACTGTAAAAGCATACCCAGCGCAACGACTATACCCCATTGCACTCCATAAGGCATAATGCTTTGCTAGATTCATAATAATCTTCTACATATTGTGCCCTATCCTGGGTTTCGCCCGAAAAATTCACTCGAAAATTTTTCATCTGCCCATAGTAAATACATGGAGACGAAAAATGAAAAGTGAACCGGTTCGGGGAAAATGAAACTCATGATAAGGCTGATTTTTACACGACTAAATATGTATTTAGCTACTTAAAATGAAACTGTGAAAAGAGTCCCAATTTTATTTCACTTTCTACATTTATCGCGAAAACGTGTGCTACCAAATTTCAACAAATAAAATTATACAATTCTGTATAAGCAAACAAATCGATCGCGCAAGAAAACAAAGTTGTGAAAAATAAACACCAAACAAAATAAACTTTAACAATGACAGTGAACTCAGTTAAAAGCAACATAGCATCATGTACATACATATGTATATATTTAGTTGTTAGCAAGGTAAAAAAGAGCTGCAGAACCAGAGCTAACAGCATCAGCGTTGAGTTGAATGGAAGGCTCATACAACTTTTTGCGTAGATTCCGCAAATGAATGCACCTGCGCCCATGCTTAGGTGTTGTAAATTTCCTGGTTGCGTGTGTGTATATGTGTGGATGGGTGAATGCATTGCTCCACATGTAAAGAAAGTGGAGCGTACACAAAAATAAAAGCATGTTCATGCATAAATGAGCTGCAGGTAAACGCACTCTTACAAATGCAGAGATGCGTATGCACATATAAATACACACGCGCCCCCCACGAGCGCAATCGACAGTTCAGCACACTTGGCTAAAACTACAAACATGCATATAAGCATCGCACATACCGGCCGCTGTGGCTGAATAGAAATAGGTACTAGTACTCTGGAGGACCTGGGTTCAGTCTCTGGCCCGAGCAGCACTCAAAATTAGAAAAATGTTGTTTTAACAGCGGTCGCTCCTCGGCAGGTAATGGCTAACCTGCGAGGGATTATCTGCATTGAAAGGGCTTTTTATAAGGACATTTGCCGTTCGGAGCCGGCGTAAAAATGTAGGTCCCTCTCCTTTGTGTAACAACATCAAAGTATCGATACCTATTCAAATGAGTTTACTCAAATCGTTATTTCGATCAAGGAATGAAACCGAAACCCAAACCGAAACCGTAACCGTTTAAAATCGTTTCGTTTTTCAAAACCGAAACCGAAACCGTAACCGTTATCTTAACCTGAAAAGGAACGATACCGAAACCATTTCAATCACAGGTTTCAATCGGTTTCCAGAAATTTACAAAAATAATAAATCAAAAATTCTTTGAAATAAATGATTTATTTAACCAAAATCAGCAATATTTTGCTAAAATTCTTGTTAAGTAGTAAATAAGTATGTCAAGATAACTTTTCGCAAAAAGCTACTAAAATGGTGCCTAATAAATTAAATCTCCGATCTGGCACCGGTTATTTGGAAGAAGTCATTTTGATTTTCATTTTCACGTGTATAGTTGTAAAGGACACAGAAATGAAGGGGTTTCATTATTATGTAGTAAATATATGACGAAAATAACAATTATATTTTAGTTTTCATACACCTTTAGTTTTACAGCAAAAAGGAAACATTTAAGTGAATCTGGTGATGACGTTGTTGCTGTGTATCTGTGTAGTTTTCAGCGAAAACTGGTTTTCGTTTGACAGATTTTACATGGACGAAAACACAAGTTTTAGGTCGAAAACCTGTTTTAGCAATGAAAACATGTTTCCGATGTCGGTCAGAACATGGTATAAGTGAAAAAAACAAGAACAACGTGAATCAGCTGTTTCTCGACTTGTGGGCACGAAATGTGGTTTTTGCGTTCCCGTACTTCTGGACTTTGTTCCATTTTTAAAAAAAAAAAAATGTTTCTGTTATTCTCTAATTACCAAATCCGGTCCGGATTGTTAGGGAAAGAACCTAGTGTTGATATTATCAGTGAACTGTAATTTTCTATTTTCTTTCCTCAACCTTTAAGACATTGTGATTTAAATAATATCAACAAAATTTTTGTGAAAAACCGAAACCGGAACGAAACCGAAACCAAAACCGAAATAAATTTTGAAGAACGAAACCAAAACCGAAACCGAAACACTTGGCAAAACCGAAACCCAAACCGGAACGTTATTTTGAATCGGTTTCATTCCTTGATTTCGATACTACTTATATGAGTCAACCGAATGTATCGATACCTACTAATATCGATAATTTTTATGCAACAAAGAGAAAGTAATTTTCAGGCGTTATCTGTGACATAAACCTTTGCGGCACCTGAGTAGAAGATCGACCTATCTCGGCAGAGAGGCCAAAAACGCCCTATTTCAGAAAACTTTTCAAGAACACACTATTTCAGAATTCGGTTCAAAAACGCCCTATCTCAAATATTTTCAATATATTTTCAGTTGAGGTATCGATATGTATATTTCTTCATTAGTAGCCATAGAAGTAATACGATTGTTAGACAAAAAATTCAACCTTTGAGAGGATCCCACAAAACTTTTCATGAAAACGACGCAATTATTTTCCATAGAAAAAATATTCTCGACAGGATATGGCACTTGCCCAAATCGATTCGATACAAGTACTTTTCTTTCGATATCAAG